ATAAAAAGTCAACCTAAAATCAGAATTATGTTTACTAGGGATTGAGAAGGGTAAAGTGGGGGGAGAATTTGATCAGTGTACAGTTTAGCATATATGAAAGTATCACACTGAACCCAAATGCATAATTAATATCTGTGAATAAAATATATATAACACAGAGACCACAATGAAATATCACACAATGTTAACAGTGTTAATTGACTCCACTTACTAAGTTCCAGATCTGGGACTATCTGAGAAGACAGAATGTAAATGAATTGTTAGAGAAATTGCAGGTGGTAATAAATGCTCAAATATTGTTAAGAGTACAAATCAAAAGAATTGAACACAGACCCAGAGAATATATTTAGAGAAGTCATGGCTGTCATATGTACATGGACTATACTATGAATTATAATTAAATAATGTTAGTCAATGAAAAATACTACTACTACTAATGATAATAATAATAATACAGTGAATGGATTAAAACTATGAGTCACATTATTTCAAACACATTATTGAACAAATAAAGTGTGTGACTTCTTAAATACTTATTCAGTATGAAACCAATACATGAAATCTGAGAACTTGTAAACTATATAAAATACTATCTATGGAAGCGTACATTTATAATAATAACCTAAAACCATGCAATGAGAATAATAAACTTCAAATTCGAGAATAGAGATGCAGGCATATGGAAGACACTTAAAAGAACTCTCTTGTCTTTTGTCTTGGGTACCCATAAGAAKATGACAGATTTTTAAAAATATTATGCCAGCAAAAATACTGCCARTCTGTACTGAAAGAAATAAAGAAAGAATAAAGCAAAGGAAGAATTACAGGGGAGAAAAATGTATGCAGAGGCTTGGGAAAGGGGATTTCCACAGTTCCAAAGAACAGGGCCATGTCCTTATTTTCAGGGAGCAGGGCCACCACCCAGGACTGAGGAGAAAGGGGGCAAGACCTGGGAAAGGAKGTGTTATGCTTTGGATGTGAGGTATCCCCCAAAAGCTCATAAGTGAAACAGTGTAAGAACATTCAGAGGAGAAATGATTGGGTTGTGTGAATCTTAACTGAAGAAGTAAATTAATCCCCCCATAGGGATTAAGTGAGTGATAACTGAAGTGGTAGGGTGTGGCCGGAGGAGGTGGGGATGGGGCAGCGTGGCTTTGGGGTATTTATTTGTATCTGGCAAGTGGAGACCTCTCGCTCTCCTTCCTGATCAAGATGTGAGCCACTTTCTTCTGCCACACTCTTCCGCCATGATGTTCAGCCTCACCTGGGGCCCTGAGGAATGGAGATGGCCTTCTATGGACTAAGACCTCTGAAACCATAAGCCCTCAAATGAACTTTTCCTCCTAAAATTGTTCTGGTCAGATCTTTTAGTCACAGCAGCAAAAAAGCTGACTAAAACAGGAGGCAGGATCATTCTGGCAAGACAGAGCAAAAAGCAATAGAGGATTATTCCCAAGTTTTATAACATCATGGAATTTTTACATTATGATAAGTTTTGAAGTCGCTTTAGATCAGTAGAACCTTTCTATTTTGTTTATTCCAATTTCATTTTAGAATGAGAATGTCTATTCTTTCTCATATTGTATCTTGGAAGTAGATGACTTGTTCTCCAGTTTTCACAGGTTGACAGATAGAAAGAAATTTTGTCCTAGGATAGACTACATTCCAAGTGTCATCCATAACTGATCTAAATAGAATTTGGATTTAGAGCTGATGTTGGAATAACTAAGATACTTGGAAATGTTGTGATCAGCTGAATATACATTTTTGCATGTAGAACGAATGTGGTAGGGACTTGAATTTGGGAAAGGAGTCATAGGCAAACTATTATTGGTTTAATTACATCCCTCAAAAAAGACAAGTTGAGATTTTAACTTCTAAYATCTCAGAATGTGACCTTATTTGGAAATGGGATGTTAGTCTGTTTTCCACTACTATAACAAAAACAGCTGAGATAAACACATTAAAAAGAAAAAAAGGGTGGTTCCTCCCAACAAACTTTGGGTCATGTGTAACTGTCCATGATCATTTGAGCCTGTTGCTTTCACCCTGTGGTGGAACATCATGGGGAGAACATTATGTGGAGCAAACCTGCTCACTCCATTCCTAGGAAGCTAAAGAGAGGAAGAGGAAGAGGCTATAGTCCTACTATTTCCTTTGAATGAATTCTTACAATAACTCAAACACCTCTTTCCAGGACCCACCTCTTAAAGTTTCCAACACTTCCCAACAGCACCAACCTGAGGAGAAAATATCTAACACATGGGTTTTTGAGGTATATTCCAGATCCAAACTATTCCCTAGAGCTAATGTATGTGTAATTGACTGGGAGGAATTTGTACTGGAATAGGGCAGCTCCTAATCCAGTCTAATAGATATGTTTACAAGAAGACTGCCACGTGGGACTGGGGTTGTGGCTCAGTGGTAGAGCACTTGCCTGGCATGTGTGAGGCCCTGGGTTTGATCCTCAGCACAGCATATAAATAAACAAGTAAAGTGAAACATCCACTGGCAACTAAAATACATACATACATACATACATACATACATACATACATAAAAAAGACTGCCATGTGAAGACACAGAAACACAGGGAGAATGCCATATGAAGATGGAGGCACAGACTGGAGTCCCACTGCCACCATCTTCATGTAGCATTCTCCCCATGTTTCTGGGTGTTTGCACCCATCCACAACTAAGAGAGAATGAACTTCTGTTGTTTTAACCACCAGTTTGAGGTACTCTCATGACAGCCTTAGGAAGTGCTCRGTAATGATTTATAATCCACTAGGTCAAGTTATACATAAATTCACATGATTCTCATACTAAATAAAAAATCATTATTATTGTTATAGTCTCCATTTAGAGTTCACTTATTGTTATAGCCTACATTTAGATGTCCTTTTAGGTTTCTTACAGGTTATGTGATTTACCCATGATTTGCAAAGCTAGGTTTTCCAACACCTGCACACTTCATTGCATTGAAAGCATTGATTCTCTCTCCCTTTCTCTGAGAATCTTAAATTGTGTGTGTGTGTGTGTGTGTATATGTGTGTGTGTGTGTGTGTAATATCTACGTGTAACTGTCAAAAAAGACTTGGTGAACTTTTCAAGAATTCATGAAGGATATCCAATAATGTGCTAAAGAAAGAAAGACACTTTCTTATCATAACTTGATTTTTATATGGTTAATAGGAAACTGAGAAGTAGATATCCAAAGGCCATAGTGATCAGAATAGCAACTAGTCATTAATATGTATAATCTTGGTTCTATATTAATATCTAATATTAAAAAGATGCACAGTATACTATAATATAGTAAGGAATTTGTACATATCTAATAGTTTAAAGTCTCAATTTTTAATTATCCTTTCAAATAAGTGTTCCAACTTTAGATTGCATATTAATTGGTCCAAAATTTAAGACTCCTCATATTTATTTGCAAACTTTGATTTTACTCATATTTTAAATTTCCATAATTAATGAAATTTTAAAAATCTGGATGTTTAACTTATAAAGTATGAACTTCTCAGCATGACTTTAGTGTTTACTAAAATAAGAACTGGCAATGCTCTCTTATTTAACCTTGAAGAACTTCTTTTGTAAACAGAACTTAGATATACCTAAGCAAATCTGTATACAGACAGAAAAGAAGAATGGGATTATATAACTTACAGTGTTATAGAAACTTAGCAATGCCAGTGGTGGTGAATCTGGAAAAAAATCACTATGCAACTACACTTTAACTGCCAGTGCTTATCTTGCAGCACTTCAAAATAGAAATGTATTAAGGAGTAAAATATTGCTTCCCTTTTTTTAAAAAAAAGGAAGTAAAAAAAAACCAGCACAAACATTGACTAATAAGCTATTAACTCTATTTGTCACCCAGTAAATAGGGACTTTGATTCCGGCCCCAGAGCTCCCAATAGTTTTTGTTACTTCCCCTCTCTAGACATAGTTCCTCTTATTAAAATAGAAGTTCTTCTAGGTTTTTACCAGCTGCAAATTGCAGTTGTAAAATCATCAATCATTGTCTGGCACCTAATTCAGTTCAGGAAAAATATATAGAGAAAACTACATATGTAGTAGCATGGAAACATTTAACTTCTAATATTTAYTTGTCTTTATGACTTGAGTCTAAATCCAACAAACACAAGTTCCCTTGGCTTTGGATACTTGTTGAATACAGATAATCACCATCAACAGAAACTTTAAAAAGAACCCAAACAATTTGTGATGCAGTGACATAAGCAATGTATCCTTCATGTTGGAAGCTCAATGCAAAGTATAATCACTCTGTATACATATAGCATAGATATTTTTATTTTCAGAAAATAGCTTTGGAAGTTGTAAATTTGAGTGAAAAAGGCCTTTAATTTCATTGAAATTATACAGTAGTGTCACCTGAAATATACCTGCATTATAACTTCATTGTTTGTCATAGTACCATTCCAAATATATTGGGACCAAGTTACCTAAGTTCCACAATAAAAAAATTGTATTTTTTCAGCAATATACACACAGATATTTATAAAATGTAGCAATCTAGAATAAGAAAAATAAAGATATTTGGTTGTTTTACAACATCAAGATAAATACAATTTTAGTGATTCACTCTTACTTTCAGAATTTCAGTGTTAGAGATTTTGAGTTTCCTTACCAAGACTAAATAATGTACTATGTTATTTATTATTATAAATAATTATAATTAACACATGTTTCAGCCAGTAGACTTAGGAATCACAATAATTCATTTCATAAATACATTTAAAAATTCCCTTTCCCTAATATAAGCACAGAATTCCTCATTAGTATTAACTCAGTACACTTTAAAAGTGAAATAGTTTTCTGAGCCAAGATTGAGTTTTTCATTTTCTTTCAATAAATTTAGAATATGATATCAGAGAAAACTAAAGAAATAAAAACAATCACATGTTTATAAAGTACAGTTAACATGCACAGCTTGTATATTTTTACAGTAAGTATGATTTGAAAGTTACCTGAATAGAGAGAACCCAAGTTTGCTTCTTTCTCTGAGCACAGAGCTGAGCAGAGAGGCAATTGATCATTAACTTCTAGCCAGAAGCAAACTTGCACACACGTCTCCAGAGATTCTCTGCTTTGCCCTTCCTTCTCTCTTCTTTCAAATAGGGGAAAGGTAGCCCTCTCTCTTCTTGAAGAACTTGCTTTGACATGCACAATTAGTTCATACTTTTCACAGTATAAAGTGAGCGGAGCTTAAATTATATCCTGGGTCAAAGAAGGTGAACAAGCCTGGCAGTTAGAACTGCTAAATTTAATCTTCTGATTCTCTGAAGTTGATGTAGCCACACTTTCGAGTGTGTTTTCCATCATGTGATTAAACATCATGTTTGGAACACACTGCTAGAGTACTGTACTATATRCATCACAGGGTAAGTGAATCTGTCACAGAGTCTGAGGCAAGGGAAACAATATCAAAAGGCTAAGGTCATGTGTTGAATCCCTTTGTTGCCCGATTACATACTACATTCCTTACTTGGTCAGCAATTCTGTAAATACATGCCCTCAGTTGAGAAAGGTCCCCAACCTAAACGCCTAACAGTGAATCTTACAGTCGATCAGTAACACCATCTTTGTATATGAGCAAACCACAATAACCTTTGGAGAAATAAGAGATTTCATTTGCTGGGTGTTTCTCACACTCTAGGTAGGCATTATACCCAACAATTTGCATCCATTTCCTCATTCTGTAACTATAYAAGATGGACATTATGTTAAGTATGGGAACACTGGAGCTCAGAGCTTCAATCACTTACACAAGCTCATATGGTTGGAGAATTCTGGGTCCTGGATTTGACTCTAATTTGGCAGTTTTTCCCTAATTAGTGGGTAAGGGKCATTTGATATCTCATGGGAATAATGCAGTTACTTGGAACTAAGCATCAATAGTTGGGTGTAAAAGTGATTCCCAAWGATTTTAATAGGCTACATTTCTAAAAGTATATAATTGTTACAATAACCAGGTAAAAATATAAATAACCTCCAGAAATTTCTTCTCACTTATTTAACCAACTAAAGCAATTATCTTTATGAAATAAGATCTGGAGTATGTTTCTATCCCTTCTATCAAAACCTTAACATGACAACTAAAAAGAAATGAAAACATAAGAAAATTTCTTATCTTCTTATCTTTTATAATACCTATCTTCTTACCTTCTATAATACTATGAACAAATTGTACTGTGGCATTTAGAATTATATGGTATACATCCGGCAAAAGGAGATGATGGCATCTTTACAGAGAACTCTTCAAGTGCATCTTTGCCCCAACACAGCAGAGTGCTTAGTAGCTAGAATGAAAAGACAGACTACAACCATTTAGCTTAATGAATTTCATTTGCTTTACTTTCAATTCTAGAGTCAGGCAACACTTGATTTTAMAGATAGGGGAAGYCTGAAGAAAGCAGAAACAAAAGAACAGAAGGTAGACGGGTCATTTTAAAGTTACTTTCCGTTTAAAGTGGAGACATGGAGACAAAACAATAGAAAAACAACTGACTGGTTATCATCAGGTTACTTTAGGTTATCTCTTTTGTGTAAAAAATAAGACAAGGGAACTTCATTCTCAAGMCAATGAACACTGTACTGTTTGGGAAATTTGGATGTTATCTTCTCTAATTTTGATTTTTTCAGGAGGTCAGATAGACAGCTTATTTTCCCCCTTAGTGACCTGGAAATACTGGGTCCTGGGTTCCAATTGAAGGCCCATGGTTACTAGTCCTTAGTAGCATGGGTGAGTACTCCGTTTTTAGCCCAGTCTGTTGTATGCCAATGCAGGAGCTTAGTCCCAAACAATGGCCTCCTGTAGTTTCCAACAATATTTGACACACTTATCTGGAGTAGAAGTACTGATGTAATACAAAGTGATTAAACAATTAAAAATAATTTCACTTTGTACTCTGTAGAGATATACCTCAAAGTATTTTTTTAAGAAAGGAACACAATTTCAATAAAGATATCTGCTTTATTAACTACTTATACATAATGAAAATATAACAAGACTCAAATTATATACAGGAATATTTACCACCTTTAGTAAATACAAACACTATTAAGTATAMCACGAATGTTAACTTTATGCAGCTTCCTATGTATAATTAATATTTTTTACTTAGAATCATTATAAGAAGTTCTGCCCGGCACAGTGGTGCACACCTGTAATCCCAGTGGCTGGGGAGGCTGTGGCAGGAGGATCACAAATTCAAAGCCAGGTTCAGCAAAAGTGAGACACTAAGCAACTCAGTGAGACCCTCTCTCTAAATAAAATACAAAAATAGGGCTGGGATGTGGTTCAGTGGTTGAGTGCCACGAGTTCAATCCTTGATACACCCCCCCCCCCAAAAAAAAGAATTATTATATGAAGTTGTAAAGTTAAATAAAGGAGAAATACAAAAATCTAAGTTTAATATGTCAAAATATACTGTAACCAAGAACATAATTTCATAAAATATGACCTATAATGATTAGAATTGGCAAGAGTGTGGATAATATAGTTTGTACTTATTCACTATTATTTTGGTTATTGCCATTACAATATTAAATCTTTAAAAAATACTATCCACTGATTGAATACATGGTTCATAGTTAGGAAAGGTTAAAAAGCTTAAGTTTTAAATTGTATATTTACTTTCTAAATGTAGAATTTATTTTTCTTCACAGATGACTTCTACTAAATTAATTTGCATCTTAAGCACACATTTTTAATAAATCTTTCCAAAAAAATCAAAATTACCTATAGCAGCGAAGTATGGATTAGTGTTTGTAACAGAAGACAATATAACTGGCGACTTCTGTCACCTTTGTAATCACAGGAAAACATTCAACAGTTGGTCTTCCTGCACTCCCAAACTGGGGATTGAACCCAAGGCCTGTGCATGCTAGACAAGCGCTCTACCACTGAGCTACATCCTAACCCTCTCTTTTTCTTAACAAGAAACACATCATAATTAAAGCTCAAAGAACTTGTGTTACTAAAGTTGAGCAACCATATTCTGTAGGATATGAGATGAGCACACACAGTTGTGTTTGCTACATGCACCTTTGAGAAAATAAAAGCCAAAGAACTGTTCCCTGAGCTCTAGGGAGAAATGCCTGAAGGTGACTAACCTTTGCCAAGGTTACACATTCTCAAGAGTAAAGCCAAAAATAGGACCATGTAAAGATTTTATTTAAATTTCAGTTTCTAACATTCTCATTAATGTGGAGTCAGAAATGATAGGAAATACAGATAGTCTTAGGAGAAAACCCTGATAAATAGCATTTGTGGTCTTGGAACAGGTTATTAATTCTGCATTTAAAACATAACAATAAGTTCTTGGCAATAGATTTGTTTATAACATTATTCCCAAGTTTCATGCAGCATTATCACATTTCCCTTGTGAGATTTTGATGTTTCTCACTTTATGACTCTGAATAAATCTAGATTAATGTGCAAAATCCAGGTTTTTAATCTGAATAAAAAATCCAGGACCAGGGTTGTGACTCAGTGGTAAAGTGCTTACCTAGCATGCACTAGGCCCTGTGTTCTATCCCTAGCACCGCATATAAAGAAATTTAAAAATTAAGCATAAAAAAAGTKCAAGAAATTCAAAAGAACAGAAAGCTCAGGTATAAATTTTGGATGGGAAACAGCAATAAATTAGTCAGAAAAATACAAAGATTAATTGTCTTACAAACATAAGGGGAATCTTCTATTTGCTTTTCTCATTTAGATAAAATATTTTTCCTATTGTTTTTCTGGAAAGAGTACCACAGTCTTAACATTCATTGAATAAAACTGACAGGGATTCTATATTCTGGAGTTTAGAATTATCATGGAGCTCAAAGTTAGTATRCCATAGAAAAAATAGTCCAAGTTCACTACTTGAGGTAATTGCCCAGAGTCATAATGTAAAATGGAATTCTTTTTTTAGCCTTGATAAGAACAAAAGAAAAAAGTCTCCAGTCAAATTTGCATTATAGGGCAATTCCTTTAAAGTTTCAATACATCACAGGAAGACATAAAGGCTAAAGGCGGGAAGGCAGTCCTAAACATAAACAATACAGAACTCTACCATCTTCAGTGATTTCCTCTTTTTACCCACAACAGCAGCTCTCTTGGTTTGAGTACATGGATCATTTAAGATCTTTTATTCCCTGGCTGTTATCCATTCAACAGAAGATCTTAGTATATTCAGCTAATTGAGGAAACATGTTCAGAGAAAGTGCTTCTAAAATACCTTTCTATCTCGGAACCCATGATTCCACTTAGCTCTCTGCCATCACCTTCAGCAGACTTCTGTTAAATGCACCAACATTCTGCTAGTGACTCAGCACAAAGTCTGAAAGTCCATGATGTTTCCTGCTCTCCACTGTCATATCACAGTTGCCAATCCTTAAAGATTCCGCTTCCACCGAGACTCAGTTCTATCTCCTTTCCCTCATTCCCACAGATACCAGGCAACTTCAACAAATGTAGTAGCCTCCCAATTGTTATACAAGTAATATCTCCACTAACAAGTGTCTGTCCACCCAYCGGCTACCCCTCCACCACACACAGGAATATGCACGGGGGGATATGTGATGAAATATCCTAGGATCAAATATGCAATGCCATATACTGCTAGAGCCAATTAGTACAGATATTTTAATGTGTTTGGTTTTCACTGGTATTTTAAAAAAATAAGAAGCCATTATTTATTCTGGTTTTTAAAACTACAAAGGTATTAATCATTAACAAGATATAAATAAACAGAGTTTACCACTTTCAATCTACTGACTCAGTCACATCTCACTGGCTACGAGATTCCTGTCATGCCTCCAAAGAAAAGTTTATATTGAAAAAACTTTGTTCTTCARTCATTGTAAGGTATTATAAATGAAAATCTTTGGTAGTTGGTATTTTAAATTATTTTAAAGGAAAAGGATGAAATGACATATGAGGATCCCAAGGAAATAACAAGAAAAATAATGCAAAGTCACATGGAAAGACAGTTTATAGGACTCACGGCCATGCCCCAAGACCTCGTCAAGTCTACGGCATGCGTGTTTTAAGGCCTCTCTGGGTGGCTCCGTGTGAGGACAAGACCTTCTGGGTGAGCTCCTTAACAGCTGGCAGAGGACATGGACTGCCCTTGTCTGCCTGTGCCAGGCCTCAGTCTGCTCAGTAGACTTCACTCCCCTGGGGAACCTGCTGTTTCCTAGGACACTGCAGCATAACTCCTTGCTGCACTTCTTTACTCTAAGAAATGCTTTGTTTTGGGGTGGCGGGGGTAACCGGGAATTGAACTTGGGCACTCGACCACTGAGCCACATCCCCAGCCCTATTTTGTATTTTATTTAGAAAC